CACCGGCACAGCCCCGTCTGTGCAGCCTTGGCCGCAGGCATTTAGCGCTGGCTCTCTGGCCCGGCCTGGCCCTTCCATGCACGCGACCTGGAGCCTCCAGAGGGAAGCAGGCGGGCGCACGGGCAAGCACTGGAGGAGCACAGCTAGGCTCTCTCTCAAGGCAGATCTCCCTCCCAGAGCAACAGCTCCGTGGGCGCCTTGGCCTTAGGAATCGGAAGGCCTAGACCAGGTTTACCACAGCCCCGCTGTGGCTGACTGAAACAGCTCTCAGAGTCACACTTCTTATTTTTCCCATATTCTTGCGGACTTTTCACTATTTCCCCGTGATGCGGGTAGATGAGACACACCTCTAATCCCAGTTTTTGCAAGGTCCAGGCAGAAGGATTGAAAATTCAAGTCCTGTGCGAGTAATTTAGCAAGCCTGTCTGAAAAAAAAAAAGTCCAGGGATACAGCCCAGTGGTAGGTTTCTGCGCACACACATAGACCAATAATTACTGCCAACACCATTAGGTGCAAGGTGTGTTATTCAAACTTTTTTTTTTTTTGCGGAACCAGGGATTGAACTCAGGCCCTTGCGCTTGCCAGGGAAGTGCATATTCCACTGAGCCACCTCCCCAGCCCCTAGTACTGTGTATTAAGATTAGGAATTATGCCCCACAATGAATGGAATCATTATGTACGCAAACATTTGCTTATGTAAATGAAAAAGGGGGGCATTATGTAAAAGATGTGAATGGAATATCATGTGAGTGGGACATGACTGCTCAGTCTCATAAGCATAATTCCATTTAGTAAAACTTCCTTTGAAATTAATGTATTTGTATAAAACTAATGCTTTTAAAGGGTTAACCTTAAATCCATGAGAAATTCAAGTCAAAACAAATGCCTTCAGTATCTTGTTTCTTCAGCCTAAATGATTAGGACTCAAGGGTTTCTCACCTGCTCCTTCCACTCATTTGTTAAATAAATACTCATTGAAAGAAGATTTTTACTGAAGACCCGCAAAGGGTAAGTAGTTCAAACAAGATTGTAAATAAGAAAAGATGCCATTGGAAGATGAGGTTAGAGCCATCCCATCCAGATGGGATTTGGGGGGTGAGTCTTTTAGGTCCAGAAAGAGTTAAACAGAATGAGCTGGTAGTGGGGGAAGCTGGGGACTAGCGTAGGGTACAGGGAGATTATTGGGAAATTTGAAGCTGGAATGAGATTACTGGGCGGCTTTACTTCCAGCATCTTTTTCTAATTAGGCGCCATCCAGCCCACAGCCCTGCTGCCTCCCTGCCCCACCTAGAGGCCACATGGGATCACAGGAAGGCTGGCCCTGGAGAGCCCAGGCTGGAAGTTGCCTCAGCCACTTGCTCCCCTGTGCAGTCCTAGGCAGCCCGCCTACCTCAGGGGGTCTGTTTTCTCATCTGTAAGATAGGGATAGCAACGCTCTGATTACGTGAGACAGTATGGGTCAACTTCCTACCTCAACATCTTTACATGGCCTCCTGCTTACTTGCTTTGGAATGGGATTTTTTTTTCAGTATGGGGGAAGGGCACACTGTATCAAGCAGGTTGGGAGGAGCGCAACTCCTAGCAGCTCAGCAAAGCCCTCCACGTGGCTGTGTTGTGCCCGCCTCCTCCCATCTCCTCTCTTACCCCTCCACCCTCTTCCACTCAGGTTCACAACTGCTGTTCCCTGGGTTCCTGGGCTTTTGTTCTCGGGAGGCTCAAAATACCACCTCATTTCCCTTGTTTTCTTGTGTAAACGGTGTCATCTATCCTCTACAGACTGCCAGTTGAAATGTACAGATAGCAAGTAGCAAGCATCGTACTTAGTTCACCACTAATACATCAACCAACAATAACTGGTATGAGTGTAATATCTATTTTTCACTTCCTGTGACCCTCTTCACTATAAAATTATCTTTAAATATTAGTTGTTGAGTTCATTCCTCGGTTCTGCAAAAAAAATAAATAAATAAAATTAGTTGTAATTGCTCTATTACATGCTTGTCTGCCCCTCAAGATTTTAAGTTCCTACATCCTGTAGTAGTTGTCCTAGAGAAGTTTCTCAAACTTGACTATGTGAGGAATCACCTGGGGATCTTGTTAAAGTGCAGATTATGATTCAGTAGGTCTGAGGAGGGAGTAAACTTCTAACAAGCAACGAGAGGCCCTGGCCACACGTGCACTCTCCAGGCTGCAGGGACTTAAACAAAGGAGGTGCACACACACACACACACACACACACACACACACAGTCACGGCAGGAAGATGTCTTGCAGTCTCTTTAATGCATCTTTTTGAAGTCTCTTCAATACATCTTTTTGTCCCTTTTTTTTTTTTTTGGCGGAACCAGGGATTGAACTCCAGACCCTTGTGCTCGCCAGGCAAGCGCTTATTCTACTGAGCTATTTCCCTGGCCCCCTTGCCCCTTCTCTTGTATGTGATTTACTTAGCGTTCTTTGCTATGCAGTCCATACTTGAACTCACTACATAGCTCACGAGAACTTTGAACTCAGGGCACTTCCCCTGCCTCATCCTCCCCAATGCTGGGATTACAGAAGCAAGGCACCATGCCTGGTTTTTAGGTCACTTAGTGAGTACTGCCATTTCTCCAGCTTATTTCTACTATTCTCTATCTTGAAATAGCAAGAAAATCTCATTTATTTACTTACGTACCTGGACTCTGCGCTTGCCAGGCAGACAAGAGTAACTTTTTTTTCCTTTTTTTTGCAGGGGTAACCGGGCTCAGGCCCTTGCACTTGCCAAGGAAGTGCTTATTCTACTAAGCTATCTCTCGGGCCCCAAAAGTAACTTTTTAAAGAATCATTTTTACCGCTTTCTGGTCCTACAGCCCCCAGTAACTCCCTGGTATACAACACGGCGACTTAATGTCAGGATGAGGAACTCAAAGACGTTGCCCAACATTTCCCTCTCCCTTGCCACTTTCTCTTTTTGCTCCACAAGTAATCTTCTGCATAATGCCAGCCTATGATGCAGATTCCTGGGACTCCCTGCAGGCCATTTCACATTGGGAATGTCTTCTTTCATGCCTTTTAAGACATGTTGTTTTTCTTTAAGTACAAACAAAACAAAACAAAACAAAACTTTCAATTTTTACCTACTCAAAGTTTTTCCTCATTTATTCTCATGTTGAAGTTCTTTACCTAAAACAACACACACATACTTTCATGTTTCCTTGGGTATTTTCAGCCTGTTTCAGTGGGTAGCATGTGTCCTTGTGCACAGCTGCCTGCCCGAAAGGTAGGGCTTGACACACGGTAGACACTTTCCTGGGAGTGCAGTGAGGATGAAACAAAATTAATACTAAATCTTATTAGCGCTCAAAATGTTCCTTATTTACTACATATTTATTGGGAACCTGGGTGAATGTAAATGGGTTAATAAAATCAGACAATTTTGGTGAGGTAGCTTTAATTAAAGTATGAATTAACATCAGAAGGCTTTGCAGATTGCCGATATATTAACACATGTATTGGTTAAAGGACCAAAAATAAATACCCTTTAAAATTCTGAAAAAGTACTTTGAGGTTTAGTAATATTTCTCCACCCTAATACCTACCATCTTAGTAAGGGAATAGAATATAGATGCAGCTAAAAATGATTTCGGGCCCAAACCCACATCCTATCTCACAGGCTCAGGTTTTCCTGTCATTGTTTTCTACTGGTCACATTTTATATTCGTTAGGACTGCATTTTTCTTAACAGTTCTTGGTGCTTCAACCTAAAAGAAATGGGGCTTTCTCATATTACAATCTCAAGAAAAAGGAGACTGAAACGCCCTTTCAGCCAGGTGCAAGAGGCCTACAAGCCTCACACCTTGCAAGCGCTTCGTGATCCAATTTTATCTTTTGGGGGGGTACAGCACCCCCTTTTTTGATGATGCAAATCATGCAAGCACAGCTTTAAATCCTCCCCATCCTAGGAAACGCAGCCTAGACGGCCAGTTTCTCTAACAAGCAGCCCAAGGCTACAGGCCTGGATACCCGCCCCCAAACCCGATCCACAACAATCGTTTCCTCTCTCCCCGCCTTTTACATACAGTACACATACAAATACACACGCTGAGCAGCCAGCCGGGGCGGGCCGGGGCGGACCACTCCGCCAACCGCAGGGGGAGCCGCACGCGGCTCGGGCATTTTCGCTTACTGCTTCATTCCTTTGCACCTGTGTGTCTCTCCCTCTTCATGCAGTGGTGAGTCCAAAGGGAAGCTGTGGATCCACGGTCTTCAGAAGCTCCGCCTTGGAGCCACGCACTGTTGGGGGCTGCAGTTGTACCCCCCCCGGCTCGGGGAGCAGATGGTGCCGCCCCAGTGCTAGCGGGCGCCGAGCGGGAGCCGCGCGGGAGCGGCGTAGCGACGGCGGTGGCGGCGGCGGCTGTGGTTCGGAGCGGTTGAGACGCCTCTGCGGCAGCTGGTGGCGCAGGTGGCTCGCGCGGACGCGGGCAGAGGCGGCAGGCCCGC